TTTGCTGATTTGATGTTCCCGCCACAGAACAACGGGTCGCGATTTGTCGCGGTTCTCGAAATTCTGGATGGCTGGAGCCGATATCTCACTGTGTTCTAGCTCACCGACAAGAGTGGGAAGACTGTAAACAAGTACATGCAGCGCTACATGTTGTGGGCGGAGCGCCAAGCTGGTCGTGGGATTACGAAGATCGTCCAGCGTGAGCACGAGCCTGCAGAAAGCGCAAAGTTTCCGGTGCAACGCGTTCTCACAGATAATGGTGGTGAGTTCGTGAACAAGGATATGAAGACGTTCTATGCGGGGCGTGGAATCGAGCACATCAAAGTTGGACCTAAGAGCTCACATCTGAATGCTGTGGAGCGTGCGATCCAGTCCTTGAATGACAACACGAAGACGCAGATGCACAAGTCCGGATTTTCTCGTTCGTTTTGTTGGTATGCCCTTTTGTATGGTGTTTACATCAAGAACATGATGTACCATCGAGCCATCGAAGGGATTCCAGTCCATCAAATGATCGGCGTGAAAGCTGATGTGCACCACTTGAGGCCCTTCGGCTCGCTCGTGTACATCCAGGTGCCGAACATACCGGAGCGCTCGAAGAGTGACGACAATGCTATCATCGGCTATCTACTTGGGTTCAAAATGGACACTGTTGTCGAAATGGACACTGTTGTCGAAATGGACACTGTTGGCGTGTATATCCCCAGCGAGAACACGGTCAAGTTTGTCGCTGAGGTTCGCGTTATTGAGGACGTGATGTACGGCGACCGTCATCACGTCGATCCAACTAACCGAGATGATGGTGAATGGTTACATTTTGCGACCGAAAAGTTGGAGAGCAAGACGACACGACCAGCAACTCGAGTGACGACGGCATAGACATGGAAAGCATCCATGAGTCCAGCCAGAGTGTCGTACTTGACAACTCGGGGATGCAGAGACTATTGTCAGTGCTACGGTTGCGTACGAAGCATCTATGGCTGATGAGGATCGGTCGGCAGACGTCGATGAGAAGGGCGAGAACGAAGATCACGACAACCAGTACATCGGTGAGAATCACCAGGATATGACTGATCAGGCGGATGATGGTCATGATGATGACGAGTCTGTCTCGGCTAATTTTGGATCGGAGGTGGACGAGGACGTGAGCGATCCGACCGACGAGCAGGAATCGATCCACGAGCAGGGTCAGGATGCCAAGGATCATACGGAATCCGGCCGGAGCAAGAACTCACCCGACGGTGGCAATGCCGGTGCTGAACCGACCGCAACGGAACGATCCATGCTTGAGAAGACCGTACTTCCAGAAGGCCTGCGAAAGCGAGTGGAACAGGACGATACCCTGCCAGAAGCTGAGAAGAACCAGCTTGAAGAACGAATAGAAGAACGTCGCACCGGCTTATGTCAGTGGACGCGCCGACCGGCTCGATTCGATGACTTTGTCGGATGGGCAAATGTTGCGACGAAAATATTGGGTCGTGATGGCAGACCGATTGGTGCCAAGAACATCAGAGTCTCAAAAAATCGACGCCAAGCTATGAGTTCTAAGTATGCGCCTTTCTGGCGAATAGCTGAGCTGGAGGAAATAA